CGGCAGCATCCGGCGGCTCCTCCAGCCCCGCAGGGTGCTGCCGGGTCCCCAAGGACCACGGCGCGGTGCCCTGAATCACGCCTGCTCTCAGGCTCTGCCTCACCGCTCCCTGCCTCCCCTCCAAGCCACCCTGCAATCCTGCCCACGCTCCTCCGGCCCCGCTGCCCCTGCGTCACCAGGCCATTCCCGTGGCCGTTTCCGAGGCCTGGCGTGGCTCAACCCCGCTGATGCGCCAGCGGGATGCAGGACACGCCACCTCCGCCCCGTAACTCACGTCGTACCTGGCCCTTCTCAGTGTCGTCGCCCTGGTAGCACTTGGGACACTCCCAGCAGTTGGGAAGCTCGTCGTTGAGCAGCCCTTCCCCGTCCATCTGCAGGGAGGACAGGGTCAGTCAGTGGTTGCCCTTCCCTGCAGCCAAACCCTCGTGCCCGGCGTGCGAACCCCTCACCTGCAGGCAGCCAGGGTGGACGATCTCATTGCAGATGCAGCACTCCATGAGCTTCTTCTCAAAGTCCTGCGAGTCTTCATTCTGATCCACCTCCCCACAAAGTGCACAAGTGACTGAGTGAGGCAGCCTAGGCTACAAAGGAAAGCAGGGGTGAAAACAGGGCAAGTTAGGGGCCGAGTGCCCCCCTTGAATCAAAAATCTTGTCAGTGCCTTCCTCTCTGTGACCCTACCCAGCCAGACAAGGCGGCTGCTCGGCTGCAGGGGGCTTCTTGGGGAAAAGGGGCAGGCCACAGACTCACCGCTAAGCACTGTCGGAGGACGCAGGACTGCTTCATCCGACCAGGTCCACCAAATTTCTTCATATCCCTGCAATAGTGGCACATGCCACACTCGCCCTGCATGCAAGCCTTGCACTTCCGGCACCTCACGCGCCTCCGCCTGGCTCCCGACACGATGGGCGAGACCGTGGGCCTGACGGGTGTTGGGCGGGGGGTTGGCTTCATGGTGTGAGGCTTGGTGATGGGTATGGTGGGCAGGCGGACCCGCAGCCGGGCCTGGAGCTTCAGCTGGCAACAGAGAGAGAGGGAAGTGGCATGAGATGGGGCAGGTTGCTGCATTCTGCCTGCATCAGAGAGCCTCCGGTCTCCGGCTCCAGAGTAAGCTCCCGAGCTCCTTCACCTTGCTGCAGGACAAAGGAGAAGTCTCTATCAACACTGCTAAGAGGGAACCTCTGTGAACAGCACTCGCTCAGTGTTCATTTTTGCCTGCCAAAGGTTCCCATTCCTCCCCACCAAGGGAGGGAAGCGGTCTGCAAAGGGTTGCTGAGGCCTGCAAGCATCGCTGTGCTTCAGGGGACCGGCTTGCTTTCTGAAGCAAGCCACCAGAGAAAGCCTCTGTGGGCAGCCTGAAAGTCTCTCCTGCCTCTCCGAGTCTCTGCGCAGGCCTTAGCTCCTGGCCCAAGCAGCACAAGAGGACAGGGCTCCACCTGTCTCGGGAACCCTCAGAGCGGAGGGACTCGTGCAGGACCTTGGTCAGGGTCACGGATGTGCTGAGTGTCTGACTGCTGCATCCGAAGCGGGTAGGCAGCCCCACGTTGCTACCCCCAGAAAAAGCTGCCTGGGCCAAAAGAAGATGCTTATGTTGCTTCAAATAACCAGCACGGTTGTGCTGGATCCCCTTGGAAGGGGCGAGCAGAGACAAGCACCTCCAAAGGGTGCTCCGAGGGCAACCCCCGTAAGCCCATCTCCCAGCAGGAGAGGAGCAGGGACCCACGGGAGGAGCCCCGCTTGCCTGTGGAGGGGACAAAAAGCCTGGCCAGCAGGTCCCCAGCAGGGCCCACGCCTGCCCAGCAGGACAGTCCGTGATGCGGCCTGGCTTCGGCCCCTGGGCTCCGAGCACAACTGCAGAAGGCAGGGCAGGACCAGGGAGCCCTCTCTGGAGGATGTGGCTGCTCTCTGCAGGGAGGGATTCCTGGGGGGAAGGGGCTGCCCTCCCTGCGGTTGCGAGGCCCAGCTCTAGAGCACGGGCGAGCAGGCGCCGAGGGCTGCCTTGCTGCACGCGACGCAGCTCCGAGCCGCGAGGCGAGCGCGGGGAACCGATGCAGGTATCTCCAGAGCTACGAACACGGGCACGTGCGTCCCGGGGGCTGAAGGGGCAGCTGGATGCCCTGCTCTGGCTCCGCGGTGCTCTGCCCTGCGCTGCTCCCTGCCCGGGGCTGCCCAGGCAGTGGCATGGACGGTGCCGTCGCATCCCAGCCCCGAGGGGCGAGCTGGCTGACGGCCAGGCGAAGGCACACGCAGCCCCCTCCCAGGAACGGCTCCTCACGCCCCACACCCCAC